CCGACAGCCCAGAGAACGGTCTCGACGACGAAAGATTCACCGTTGTCCAGATAGACCGTTTTCTCTTTGCCTTCCCCTGGCTGACCCTCGACCCTTTTGACCTTCGCGCCTTTGGTGAGGGTAACGCCGCTCTTCTGCATGTACTTCTCCACGACGTCGACCACATCCGTTTCGAAGCCCCTGAGGATCCTCTGTCCCCTAATGACGACCCTCACATCGCTGTCGAGTCCATTCAACATTCCTGCGAGTTCGACGCCGATGTATCCTCCACCAACGACTAAAACGCGCTTAGGCAGGTTCTCCAGTTCAAAGAATCCATCAGAGGTGATGCCCAGACTGGCACCGGGGATCGTATCCTCGCTGGGAACGATGGGGTGGCCACCGGCCGCGACGCATATATGCGAGGTCTTCAGCGTGTACGGCTTGCCACCGTCAGATGGTTCGACGTGCACTTCAGTGTTTGAGAGTAATGTCGCACGACCATAATGGTACTCAACGCCCTCTTTGGTGAAGTTGGAGTGATAAATCCCGTTGAGCTTGCGGATATATGCGTCCCTCTGAGGCTTGAAAGTCTCCCAGCTGAACCTCGGAGCTTCGGGGGTAGTGATGTGATAACCGGGAAGGGAGTGCTTGGTTTTTTCGAAAAGGTCTGAAGCATGCCACATAATCTTTTTGGGAACGCATCCTGTAATCAGATAGGCGTGAGAAAACGAAAAGTAGCTGGATGTATGCGCGTACCAACGTTAACACAAGTCCCGCCTAGGTGGGCTGTCACCTCGACAACTGCGACCTTCTTTCCATACGATGCTGCTCGCCGCGAAGTCCCGCTGCCTCCACTACCACCGCCAATAACGACGTAATCATACTGGTCGGTCGTGGGTTCCTTGTAAATGGGAAGAGGTGCCATGGTGGTGATCGTTCTCTGCAAACTGAGAGTCGATGTAATCTATTCAACGTGACGTCCGGCTCCGAGTTAATTACAGCGCAGGAGATCGAGAAACAAAACAACTCACGCGGGATAACCTGCGAATAAAGGTCAAGGTGGGTGATTGGAACGCCAGGATTACCACGACTTTTGATTTATATCCTCCTCTTTGTCAGTACCGTCTTCCGCGTCCGGACGTGGTTGCTCTGTCATTTTTGTGGTTATCAAAATTGGCAATGATGACTCATAATATTGGCGGCTCACGTGAACAAATCAATAGGGCGCTAGCAGCTGGATGAGGGGTGTCTTTCCGACTTTCGCCCTTTCTCACTAATCCAAATGTATAGCAAGCAAAACGAATAACTCTATCAGCGGATTTCTCGATCAAAAATGTCCGTTGTCTCCAGGTAGGATACACAGATGTTGTATTGTCCATTCTACACTTGACAAGCATCTCGAATGTCCTAGGTACTGTATTAAGCACTATTTGTGTCGGGCAAGAATACGAGCCTACCCGGGGAAGTCGTCTTAAACGAGATCAATTGCGTTTAACTATTGCAATCAGGCGAAATCATCGTGGAAATCAAAGAATGCTTGCATCTTCGCTTACTTACACCGGCTATTTTTTCTTCGCTACAGAATAGTAACAGAAAGGATCGCTGGTATCGCAGCTACTGGTGAAGTCGCCCATGGGCCTCATTGGCTTGGAACGACATTATGGACGTGCCAAGCACAGGAAGAGTATAGGAGCAAGACCTCGAGGTTGATCCGCACCACCGACGGCTTGGAACGGAATTTATAATCTAGCTATCAGCACTAGAACGGTGATGAACGGGGTCGAACGTACATCCAACAAACTTTGCGGCTGCTTAAAGCATGTCAGGGCTTGGGTCCACCAGCCAGCAGCGAATCGAGCGCTAATGAATGTCCCCATATCACTGAACCTTTATGAAAAGCCGGTTTACCTGAACATGCCATAAGAATGGACATCAATATTTACACCCAGATGACCGCGAGAACCGGACACGACCGCGAACTAAATACCAGCACCGCCCGCATCGGAAAGCTGATAGTTCATATCAGGAGGATAGACTCATCAACGACGCTTCCTAGCCCTTACCTGATTTGATGATCGGGTATCATTCTTGAAGCGACAGTGACTGTCGACTTGTCTTGCAGGAGAAGCTCTATTTTGTGTGGATGAATCTGTTTACCTTCCAATGAGTGTTTTAACGCTGGCCTTCCCTAGGCACGCTCCGGTATAAAGGAGACTCTAAAAATGCTTTAAAGATATGCTCCAAGAGGTTTAGAGAGCTTCAGTACGCACTAGGGTTTAGTGCAAAATACGCACTGATCCTGTATCCAAAAATTAGTAAGATGGCGAGCCTGAGTGGGACGGCGGTGATGACGTCAACTACTCAGTTACCGAACTCGGCGCGTGCCGTATTTCTCTTGACATGCAACCGTACAGGACTCTGTTAGAAACAGTTCGACTCAAGTTTGACTCTTCAGCTACGATTACCACGTTTGCGGGCTTTTGCTGTGCATAATGATAACTGGTGTGGTGGCGGTCGCCCAGTGTGCGCGCCACCTCTGCGACTGTTCACCATTTCAGTGTTTCCAAGGTCTATATTTCGCTCTCGTACGCACCGAGAAAATCTTTCTGTGGCTTTGTCGAAATCACTGTCTCCTGGGTCTCGATGTTCGCTCCCTCTCTGATCGGACAGCCTTCAACTTTGCTGACAAAAGTCACAAAACCACTTGTAGCTCAAATTTCAATATTGTATCTGCGCTGCGATATCTATCGTGTATCTTTTCTAAAGCTTTACTATCTCTACTGATAGCTAATGTGCGACTTATCGAAGTAGTGGACCATAATCAAATCTTCTGCTGTGCAACCACCATCCGATACCCGCAGGTCTGATCTCCACCACCAGGAAAGTTCTCATGTCTGTCCATTCTTGAAGCTCGAGCTACAAACAAGTTGTCCAATAAAGAGTTGCTTCCAACGCGTCTGCAGGGGCTTCGCAGCGAGAAGAGTCGTTGAAAGCCTGGAACTGTATTCCTTGATTCTGGCTCTGATGGTCACCCACAGTTGCAGTTATAATTGCAGCTACTGTCTCAAACGTGAACATCCTTTCGTACGGGTGATTGAATAGACGTCTGGGACTCCTAGCACTCTTGTTATCTGAGTCTTCAGTTCGGGGATTCCGCGGTGAAACTCCACGGCTTCGCTAGACTGCTCACGAATGTGCGTATGTGACATTATGCAATCACTGCGATAAGAGGGATCCGGGTACAATACTGTCTTCAAAACAACGAGAGATTATCTTTCAGTTGTATCTTTCTGTGAGACATTGTATTGTTCGCCTGATCACTGAGGATCACTGAGGTGTTATTGCCATGTCCAGGTAACGTACGTACAAGACACAAGGCCTGTAATATAATGACCCCGAGTTCATAGTCAATTCCAACTTGTGCGTATGACCGTCGATCTTTGCTTTCGGGGCCAGAAAATATGTCAATCCAAACCCCGTTTCTAGCGTTCTGACCCCGAGCTCCAAAAAAGGGTGGTACTATACTTAGCGGAATGCACAGGTTTCGGCGACGACACGCATACGGGGGCAATAACAGAACTGCAACTATGCTCAGTCTATCGTGCTATGTTGGGGAGGAAAGAAGTTATGTAGTATCGTGTGTCAGCGACAATGTTGGGCGCTTGTGTCTATTCGAAATCCGTAGGGTTCAAAAATCGGGGTTACGGGGAATTGTGGAGTGCATTGTATCTACCCTGTGTCCCCGGGCCTCCACTCGAAGCGGCTGGTGGGAGAATTGCCCTGGAATTTGAAAGGTGAAAGCGGTGCATCACTCACTGCCTCGCCTCATGCAGCATCAGTGTGGGATAAGAATTGCTCGAAGCAGAGGAAGGGACTGCTAGTATGTAAATGCAAGACGGCAAGCTTCCTTACCCCTACATCACGGACCAGCATAACCGCTAAGTTACTTCATAAATGGATCCTACGGTGCTTTTATAATCACAGGCAGTTGATGGCATCCTCGGAAGCAGCGTACTGGAACTACGCTCAGTCCATCGTGCTATAGTGGTGGGGGAAAGAAGTCATGTGACATCAGGTGTGTCGGCGACATGTTGGACACTTTCGTCTATTCGAAATCTGTCAGTGTAGGGTTTTGCAACTGGACTGCATTGTTTTCATCTGTGTCCTAGGGCCACCAAAGTCGGGGAGGATTTTCCTTAGGCTTTGAAAGGTAGAAGCCGGGTGCCACACCTTGCCTCATGTAAAGTCATTACGATGATAATTACTCATAGGGAGGCTACTATTTTGACAACATGTAAAATTGTAAATAAAGGAAATTAACTTCCTTAACGATTCTTTAAAGCTGTACCAAGGTTGACTCCCACAGTGCTCCCTATTCGCTGTTTAATGATCACTGGCAGTTGATGATATCCCCAGAAGCAGCGCGAACGGCCACGATGACCCACGTGATCGTCTTCAAGCCCGATATATCAAGAATCGGAAATATACAGGTGAGCAAGAAAGAAATCGGCAGAAAAGCGCACCAGGATCCGCCGTCACCCAAGAAAAGCAACTTAAACTTCTCTCCTCGGAAGTTTAACAAAGGTTTTTACCTCGTGTTAGCCAAAATAGGGTTGCGTACGAAACCCTAGGTTTTGACACACCTAGGTTTATTCCCGGTAAGTTACTGGTAACTTACACCCCTTCGCCAGAAGGGTTTTTGTTGAGGTAACTCACCTGTCACGTGACAGGTAGTTGGGCAGTACTATTAGGTGCATATTTCAAGTTAGATCATATATTTACATATGAGTGGTCTTTACAACCGAATTACCCTGAATTACAGCAAGAACATGTATAAAAACACGAACATGAAGGATTTGGAAAATTTCAACGATTACGGCGCGTCAGTCATGTGATAATGCACATGATGAGGTAAGTAACGGTAACTTACCGTAGCAAAACCACCCCCTGGTGAGGGGTCGGTAACAAACGGTTACTTACCCCACCTTGGAGGTTTCGTGCGCTGCTGCCAAAATGAATGCCCCCACCCAGGATCGAACTGGAGACCCTTGCATGTTGCATGGATTAATTATCCTCATAAGTACAATGCTCTACCACTGAGCTATGCGGGCAACATATGTAGTCGAATTAGAGTATATATCATTCTTTTTAACAGCGACTAAGTAGTGACCTCTGAAAATGAATAGATTACTATACATATGTCTGGCACTAGTGATACGGAGTAAATACAAATATATTGAATAATACTTGCTACTCTCCGGTTACTCGACTGTCTCTCAAACTTGAGAAATACAGGCAGTCAGACCATTGATGTTTCCAGTGGTTATCACAATCAAGCTAAAGCTTCAGTGCTCAACCATCCTAAACCGTTGCTGTCTGGAGCGGCAGCAAGATCATGATGAGGGCGCCGAACCACGGTATAATCTAGACGCTCGGCAGTATTGCTATTCTCTGCTTCGTTCGCCATCCTACCGGAAGTTTTACAGTTACCGCCCTTATCTATTCCTTTCTGTCTCCACAGGTTCAATACTCTGCTCTGCTCGCCATCACAACAGGGCGTCATTGAAGTCTCGCAACGTCTTACCCCTCAAATCTGCTGTAGCACCCAGAAGCACCACCGTGACCATATACGGCTTTGCTTCTTGCCGCTAAGTTTTCGTTTGTCAAGATGTAAATCTGATTTCACTTGATCACTGATCGTAGAACGATGAAGCTTTGTGGGGTAGCGACTCGAACTTGGCAGGGCAGAACCGGACTTGGATTTACTCTCCAGTCCCTGGGGGACTCGAACAAGGACCTGGAATCGTGCGGCAAACGGCAGACGCGCTTGTCTTGCAATAGATGAACCACGGCATCCCTCGAAACCCGACTCACTTTTGCGGGTCGACGAAAACGCACTATCCCCCGGAACCACAAACCTAGACCGATTGTCTAGTCGGCTCGTACAGTGTCGCGGTTTGAACGTTAACTCTTAACGAACAGTGGCCTAGACCTTCCTCCCTCCCACAGTTGCAAGAAAATGATGTTAGCATCAGATACAGAACGGCGTCGCCACCGCCACCGGACTGGCAAGCCGTTCAGATGTTCTCGTTGCAGGGTCAGTGTGATTCCACCTCTAGGAAAGATCGCCAAGACGCGCATACGTCACGCGTGAATTAAGAGAAGACACAAGAAGACACGCCGCTCGATGAAGAGATAAGTATACCGGACTTGGCATACGTTATTTCAAAGGACTCCAGAGAGGTCTGCGTCATCATTTACGGAACTCGCACTAAGTACTCTGACAAACCGACATTTCCCGACGGGGACTCTGTCCGTACAGTCGAGTTCCGGGGACCTCCGCGCCGTTAGGACTGTTTTCGTTAATTACGAAGCTCAAGGTCCGAGAAGACATACCGAGCGAATGTGGCACAGGCACTGCCGGGCCCGCAAACGATCTACAAGCCAAGCCGCCAAGCAGGGCGGGAATACGAGAATGACCGAATATATTTGTCCGAGGCGATGGGATCATTGGAGTCCACGAATGACAGCGCCATGACGAAGAATATACTAAAAGTTGATATCTGACGTCACTCGGTCGAACTTTGCCAGAGAACCCGGAGATGTAGATAAGAGAGAGACACACACAGAGGAAATAACCTGCTCAGTACGCTCCCGCTAGTCAAGTTTAAGATAAAGTTAGATAAAACAGCCGCACATACCTCCGCCGGGGGACGTTTCTCAGCTATACAGGGCTGTGGGCGGTCGTCATCACAATCATGCTGGCAATTATACAAATTTCTTCCTCCCCTGTTTAAGAAGTAATAAACCCGGTGTGGACAGCCGTGAGACTCCTCCTACAAGGGGGCACCGCAGGGTCGCGCGAAGCAGTCCGGGGGGTCCAAATACAGCAGGGTGAGACGTACTATGCAGTATTCCTCGAATAGACTAGCAATGTCTTGGCCTGTAAACGCACGTTCGAATTGGGAGTTGAAAATAAGAATAGGTATACCCTCGGGGCGAATAAGGCTATCTAAGCGCTGGGTAAAAGGGTCCTTGGTCACAGAAAAAAACAAGGTACATACATATGTGTTTTCTCATTCAATAAGTTTGACACGAAGTCGACGTAGAATTTATGAGAAAGGTGATGAGTAGCTGAGTTGCGCAATGTCAACAGGGCAGAGAAACGGTGCTACAATGAAGCAACGACAAATTTTCTGAGACTGATGTGGATATTACGAAGGATAATATTGTATAAACGACGCCTAGATGCAGGTAGGCATGTGGACAAACGTAGCCCATCGATAATGAAGCTGGAAAAATCGATAACGAATCTTATTTACGGGAGTAGTAGTACAGCAGTACTTACCTGGGGAATTGAACGCATTTAACTGTCGCGCAGTCTTGGCCTTCAACACGAAACTTACCCTAGAACTGTTATATTAATTTCATGTCATGAGACCTGCATCATGGAATGGTATGAATACGGGAGACACCAGGAAGATTGAATGTACCCACCGTGCATAGGGCCGACAGGTGCGGGAAGGTCCCGGAACGCATGCGCACTTGTACGCCACGAGCAAGCTGTATATTGTGTAGAACTGTAAGAGACAGAAAGGATAAGGAAAGAAGACGCAGCTTGCAGTTGAATGTGTGCGGGCGGTCTAGAAAGGCGCCGGCAACGGTCATGTGAGCGACAAGTTCTCGAAGAGTACAATGTTCGACCGGAGCAAAGTAGAAGCAAGACTAGACATAGTTGTGGTGGGTTCAACATCAGTTACGGATTGCAGAATCTATTGTAACGGTTACGGGGTCGTGAAAGCCAAGAAGACTTCGAAATAACTTAAACGGTGCTAAAGACAGCACAACTTGTAGAAAACTCCGGTTTAGGCAACCAAAGGCCTAGTCAACAGTTCTACCAGGAAGCCTGAAGGACGAATATTTAGACATACAGAAGAGTGTGCGGCCGAAATGGAAACCCAAGCCAGACTGGACGCGGGGAACTTGGCGAGGCTAGAGAATTGGTAGCCTCTCTCTCACGGCTGCGCCTCTGGTCTAACCCGCCTCCAGACTTGAGACACAACCGATTCGAGACACTTGACTGTGTGGTCATGAACTACGGTGCCGGCAGAACATGTAATAACTCGCCAAGGCACAGAAGCGGTTTGAACGCCCGCGGAAATGATGATCAACATACCAAGCATACCAAGACCAGGCGACGGGCTAAAAATATGGCGGATAGGGCGGGAGGGCACTCTTGTCGGCGCAAGGATGATGAATTGGAGGCCTCGGATGCTGCGTTCGACAGAATACTATCGGAAAGTGAGTAGGTTTTAGCTGCGTTAGATCAGTAGAGCCTGAGAACGAGCAAAGCGGCCGGCGATGCCAAGGGTTGTTGCCACAGCATTTTCGATTTTAGGAGGAAGCCAGTATTAAGGTACGAGCAATAAGACATACGGCACAGTCATCCGGGTATTCCAAATAATGATGGTCTGAAGACGACAGTTATTGGTAACGAGCGAGGAGGGGAAGATCACATGAAAACACAACAGTTCAAGGTTTATGATCCTCACTAGCGACGCTAGGTGGGGTACGATATAGTTTCGGACATTTGGTATTTGACCGTCGATTTCGATAGTCCTCGTGCTTCAACAGGTAATCACACGACACAGGTCACCGAAGACCAAGCGAAGTACATTGTCTCGAAGATTCGAAATCTCGAAGGAGGCTGTAGTCGTTCTATCCCTCGAAATGTTGAGCACTTGGTGATTGATGGCGGTTCATGCGCACACGGTCTAGCCCAAAGAGCGATAACCGGCCATCGGTTGCTAACAGCTCTTCTGAAAACGTTAATATGACTGTAGAAAATTTACAACTCGAAGCGAACGCAACATGTATTCGCCGATGTTTGAATCACCGCGACTGCGTTGAAGGGGTGGTTAAAGGGGCATCCATCAGCTATAGCTTTAAAAGCTTGTGTGAGAGATCTGATAAGCGTATTACCGGTATGCGTGTGTTGTTAAGGGCAAAAAATTTCACGTCCCTGGAAGGACGAAAGAAAGGACCCTGAGAAGGGAAGACGGATGGAAGTGACATCAATATTGGATTTTTGAATCAACGTACAGAACTGCACGTCGTGAATCAGTTGGCAATGGAAGAATTTGAGATGTAGGCGCTGATGGATCCGGGCGGTGGACGCGGCTGGATGCTGTTATCAGTAAATGAACAAACAAACTCGGAAGTGCATGCGTGAACGGGCGCACGTTCATCTGCGATAAGGAAAGACGACTACGAGTGGGAGCGAGAGTTGATGATAAATACGTAAGGAACGGAGGCGGAACCCAGGGTAGCAGAAGGAAGCCGAGGATCTTTGGTGGATAACATATAATAATCATGGAGGGCAAATAAAACAAAAGCGAGACAGAGGCGACAAGGGCTCGAGGGACGTCTTCTGTGCGCTTCCAATTGGTCGCAGCAACGCCGCAAAGTCGAAAGTGAGATCTCGATTCACGGAATCAAAAAAGACCTTCCCAAAACGGTCTCGGTTGATCGCGATCGAGACCCCGGAGACCCCTACGTAATAAATAAACGCCAAGAAGATATCTAGTCATCGTACTTATACAAGAGAAAGGCCATCATCCGGGAAAGGCCAGACACCTTTACCTCTACTACCACCAACCACTACCATTACAATGTCCAGAGCCAAAATACGTTTCGCGCCACTACCCGACCCACGCCAGCAACCCGACGTCGTCGTCGACGACGACGAGTCTGAGACAGAGCTCTCACCACCCTTCCCACCGTCGTCCGACACAGCAAGCGACATTTCTACCAGCATTTCACCGCCTTCGATATCTGCCCTTTCTACACCCCAACAGCAACCATCTCCTCGAGCATCCTTCTGGGCGTTCCCGAGAAAGAAGAAATGCCTTGGGGACTCGCAGTCGAGTTCTGCCTCTAGCTCCTTGCACTCGCTTACACCTACGCAAAGCCTCACTGGAACCATGAGCCTCCCTACTCCGAGATTACTAAGTCTCAGTATGTTCCGGGGAGGTGAAAAGGAGAACGGGCACGCACTGACTCGTTATTCAAGCCCAGGGAGCACTACTAGTGCTGACGCCGGGCTGTGGAG